TACGTCTCGTTTTTCCCATGCACAGAAATAGGTGTCCGCTATCCACGCAGTTTAAGCTACGGCGCGATAGACTTAAACGAATGAGACGGTTCGCAGTCGCTGTTCCCGTTGCTCGCATGCATTGCATGTATAGCTCGCAGAGCTCGCCACGGCGGCCGGTGCGCAGTGCGAGCTCGATACGATGCCGGCTTGATACCGACGCCATAGCGAGGCCTTCCTACAGCTTAGATGTTGCAGCCGGTGAAATACCGGTGACACTCCGAGAAGCCACTATCGGCGGAGACGGGGCGAGCGCGTCGCCGGCGCAACTCTCAGACCGGTTGCCGGCCAGCCTGCCGTAGTCGAGCGAAGCCTACTTCGAACCGCTTCGAAGTTTTACGGTGCAATCGCTGACGATCGTACTCCGGCTCGTTCGGCGCTCGCCTTGTAGTTAGTCATTGACAGCTGCGGTCGCAAGGCGCAGAAGACTGTTACACATCCCAGCAGCCTTCATTTTTTGTGAAACACATTCTTTGCATCACCGGTGGTCGGTGCTAGCTCGTAGCGCTTGCCGCGGTGGCCAGCGCACACTGCGAGTTCGATACGATGCCGGCTTGATACCGACGGCATAGCGAGGCCTTCTTACCACTTAGATGTTACAGCCGGTGAAATACCGGTGACACTCCGAGAAGCCACTATTGGCAGAGACGGGGCAAGCGCGTCGCCGGCGCAACTCTCAGACCGGTTGCCGGCCAGCCTGCCGTAGTCGAGCGAAGCCTACATCAGACCACTTCGAAGTTTCTGATGGTGAAACTCCAGGAGCAGCCAATGACGATCATAACAGCTTACTTTTGCTACCAATAATTTATTCTTCGAGGTTTTTTGTTACTCGGCCCTTTGAAGCGTGGCATTCAGGACGTTTCGTTGAGGAATCGGACCGATGTGCAGCGTGGTTTAAGGTGCGAAATATATTGAAATGTTCCCAGTAAATACCAACCGGTCGTTGCTATTCTTCGCTGCACTTATAATTTCGTTGCCAGTGGACAGATGCTTACACGGTTAGCCACACAAATCACATGTGTTTCACACCGACGTGCAAACATATGCCCGTACAGACACATACATACACACACACACACACACACACACACACACACACGTCACGCCCAAAGAGGGTTTTTAAAGCTCCTGTAGGGAGTTTGTAACCACGTGACCTGAAACTCCCTGGGGAGTTTATTTAACAAGGTCATGTCGTTCATAAACTCTGTGATTAAGGAGGGGGCGTTTTACGATGACATGTGCCGAGTTCACTCCTTACCAGGGAGTAAATAATTGGGGCAGGGGAGTTTTGTGGGCTTATGTGCTGGAAAAACTCCCATCTCGGCTAACTTTTGTTTACAGTGTTGGATCATGGGGAATTCGATGTCGATTAAATCAGGTGACAAGAGAGGCCACCTCATAATGACTGGATGGGTATGCGCAAAGCGGCAGGTGCTAAGTAGGTCGACAGCTCATCAATGCACTTGGCCAACTGATTCCATAGCCTACGCACTTTTGCTCACGCATGTATACTGCCTGCACAAACAGCAGTGTGGAACGCGGCAGCACGGTGACGGCTTGGTAGGTCACATGCACCATGCAGCCACAGCATCCGACCAATATTCGCCTATTCTTGCTCCTTTGAACACTTTACAACCACGCGCACACACGCCAAGCAAGAACAGACAAGGCGACGTCTCAACCTTTCGGCCGCTATGCTCTTACTTGCGAATCGTATAGCTAAGAATCAGCCCCCCTCATCGCATCCCTTTTAAAATAAAAAAATCAACTAGACTAGACATTGCGAAAAACATCAGTTATTGTTAATGTCAATCATATTATTAATAATAAACACATGCATTCTGAGTGATCGCACGCTGCAGCAACTCGATTGATTTGTGGGGTTTAACGTCCCAAAACCACCGTATGATTATGAGAGACCCCGTAGTGGAGGGCTCCGGAAATTTTGACCACCTGGGGTTCTCTAACGTGCACCGAAATCTGAGTACACGGGCCTACAACATTTCCGCCTCCATCGGAAATGCAGCCGCCACAGCCGGGATTTGATCCCGCGACCTGTGGGTCAGCAGCCGAGGCTGCAGCAACTCAAGTACGCTCGCTCTGCATGCAAGAACTTTCTGGCCGAATGCTACACGCCGTCGCCCGAAACACCGAGCGTTAACAGCACCCAATAAAAGCACACCGAAGCAACGCGAGTTTCGTGATGATTTGAAGTGGCATCGCCATTATCACACGGTGGCCGCGGCAACAGAACTGCATATTTGCGTCACAGACAGCGCTATCTTTGCATGTATGTACATACACTGTCGTTCTTTATGAGAGGCAACACGCGAACGGATGAGCTGCTGTCTGCGGCGGCTGCCTACAGCACCATCAACCGACCAGTGAGGAAAGCACGTTCGCTTTTGGCGTCATCTATGGCCAAGCAAGATGACGAGTCATGGCCGGTAGACAAGTGCTGCTAGATTACGTTCCCTCACCGTTCGCGCGGCGAGCGATATCGGGCGATTACTGCAGCCTGCGCCGTGGTCGCACACAACGTTTGATATGTTGGCAGTGGGCTACGCACTGCCTGAGCAGATAGGGAGTGCGATCTAGCAGCGCTTGTCTACCAGCCATAACTCGTTATCTTTTTTTTCGGCAAATGACGGTGAAAGCGAACGTATTTTCTTCTGCTGTCGGTTGATGGTGCTATAGTCAGGCGCCGCAGAGCGCAGGCCACGCGTTGGCGGATTCCCTTTCGTAAAGGGTGACAGTGTATGGTCGCAGGTATATTACTCAACATTCCGAATTTTCGTTCCCCTCGAGCGAAGCTTTCAAAAGTACGCGCTTGCGACATGCATGCCACATTCACATTTGAGAAGCAGATGCGTAGCCAGATTTTTTTTTTTCGCGGGTTGTGGGTGGCACTTCCTTGATTTCGGGGAGGGCACCCCTCTTGAATGGTAATTTTTTGCTCTCTCTGCCATGGCGAAAACATTTCTGAAAGGGAGGGGGGCACATGCCCAGTGTACACCCCGTCCCCCATCCCCTGCCGGCTACGCCCCTGTGGAGAAGTGAAGCGAAAACGCCAGAGCGGCCAGAAAATTACGACTGAGCGCATCAAAAATGTTGAGATTTGTGCTGCGCCTGGGGAATGCTGCCGCCGCCGCTGCTCTCATGAATTAATTCGACTTTGGCTGCTTCTCTGAGCGCTGAATTCCGTACGCAATTCTAGTTACCCAAGCAAAGTACTGCAAAGAAACAGCTCGCACCTTTTCAAACGTTGTTTCGGGAGATACGCCAGCAGAAACGGCACGTGCGTACGCACCGGCAGCGGCGGATTCAGCCGGCTGTGCACAAAAACGAGATACGTTGGGCCATGCCGACTGGCTGCTGCCGCACCGTCTACTTCCAGTGTTCTCAGCAATCGTAATCCAAACCAGGCTCTCGATGAACGCGTCCTCATTGAGGCCGTCAAGCTTCGTCGAGCTGCACGAGTAGTTAGAAATTGGAGCCGGTGCGAGTCACCGCCGACGCTTTTGCCGCCATGTTGCTTCTGCAGCCGGCTATTCAGATCGCGTGGTTTTGAGCTAGTCAGCCGTGAAGCGAAAAGAGGATCCGCTTTTGTGGGGTGGGAAAATTAGTATCGGACCGATTTTTTCGTTCCGGCCGCTTAGGCGGCTAAGCGAGTGTATTTCCGGCGAGTTTTGCCGCTTTCACTACGGAGGCAGTCGTCTCGAAGGTGAACCCAGCGCGAGCCTTCTAACAACTCATTAAGTTCCACTAGCGTGCACACACACAAAAAATAAAGCACAAAGTTCATTCGGAGTGACTTACCATCTGTCCTCCGCTTGAGAATTGAATAACACCGACGACTTTGTGCCGGACGCCACTGGCCGCCTCAACGAAGAGAAGCAATGCACTTTCCCGCGCTTCGAAGTACCGACATCCCGACGGTGGCATAGTCCGGACCACTTTTTCCGCAGTGCGTTCGTGTAGTTTTTCATACCACGGTGCACTGGCGCAGCGCAGTTATTTCAAACTCGCCTGCTGGAATAACTTTTGAGACGCTGAAGCTTAGAACGATTCCTCTCGCATGTTTGTTCTCCTCCAAATGGGCGTATTCGGATACACCCTTCTGTCAATATGGTTGATTGTCCCTGTCTTGTCCACGTCATACTGCGCTCTCATTTTAAAACAAACACCCTTCTGCCTCACACCTAGTTTTTTTTTCAGTCACTTCCATTTTAGACTTGTTCAACTGTGACATTTTCCAATTTTCGATGATCACGGAAAGACAGCGGTTTCAGCCCATCTTACCGCCTTCCAAAGGAGGTCGTATTTTGGGCTGGGTGGTAAAAGGGCATATCACCTGCTTTTAACACCCTTGCGGTCTTATTCGTGTTCATAGTGCATCGGATAGGCGTAATTCTTTATTTTTTATATTGTCCTATGATTCTGCATTTTTTAACCGAATGCGTAATTCAGCGCAACAACGAATCTTGTTGGTATTCCATGATCCGGGTGCATCAGCATTTGTCAAAGTTAAAGGAGCACAAAAAGGGCTGGTATGCTTCTTTTTTTTCTGTTGTGATTCATGGTAGAGATTACGGCTGCCACCCCAGACGGCCAAGCACTCCCTGAACTACAGACGATTCTCTATACAGGTTCTGGGGTCACATGATAGTTCGTCATGCTTTTTTTATTTCTTTGACCAGAGCTATAAAACTTCACGCACTTGCCGGTCACGGGGTGACTTAGATTTGGTCTGCGTAGGTTTTCTTCGTTTGTTTTTTTTCCCAGAAAAAGATTTTACTGCGGAAAGGGAAATGGTATGAGGGCTAAGTGAGAGAGTGTTGAATAAGAGGAGAATGTGCAGAGAGGAGGAAAGAAGCGGTGGGTGTTACTAATCGTCTGCGCCAATCGTATGTCGTGTTGGGTTTTTAACAAAGAGAGTGGATCGCTTAAAAGCGAACGTGCCTTCGACTGCCGAGCACAGATCACCGCAGCTACACTACACTCATCATGAAGCTGTCTACACTCGTCGCCACCGCCTTCCTGGCCTTCCTTGTCGTCCAGTCTGCTAACGGCATGTTCCTGACCAGCTTGGCCCTGCTGCCTGTTTCGGCGGTCACGAGCATCGGCGGTGTTGCCGGCCTCAAGCTCGCCATCGCCATGAAGCTCCTCGACAGGCTCGGCTGGTTTAAAGTTAGTCGCTACGGAGTTGGTCTGCGAGCCGGCATCGAAAGCAACAAGCTGCCCGACCGTGTCGTGCCACGCCCCGACCCAAAGGGCTTCTTCTCCGGTCCAACAATCTCCGTACCAATTGCGGCGTTGCCGTACTTAATCGGGGGTGCCAGGCAAAAGCCGCTGTCCCTTCGGCTGCCCGTCAAGGATTTCAAAATGCTCGCCAACGCCACGACCAACTTCGATTCACCCAAGGTGAAGTTTTCGTCCAGCGGATCTGCTAGCGTCAAAGGCGACAAGGCCACCGTACTGAAAGCATCTTCGGCTCTGAAGAGCCCATTCGTCAACGTGGAAGGGAAACACGCTGCAACTATTCGAGTGAGTAATTTTTTTTTTCATTGCGTCCTTTCACCGCGCTTAAGTGCGGGCTTTACTGTTGCCGTAATGCCACATTCAAGTGGAATGCCAAGAAGCTGTGGTAATGTCCGGTTGTAACTTGGCGGTGATCGTGCTTAGATTTCGTTTCTACATCAGTCCACTTAAGTCGAGTTTTTCAAATTGTTTCTACATTCACGCTTAAGAGCAGTGTTATTGTACAAATTCCACGTTGAATCAATTTTGCATTAACGTACGTTTCGACTCGTTAAAAGCTGCCGACATTTGCGTGTTCCTCCCATACATTTCGTGCGCACCTGATTCTTTCTGTTCCTCATTAATCTTTTTCGCATGGCTTCAGGGTCGCCGAAGCAGCATCGAAACCGACCCGAACGTGATCAAGAACGCTATCGGCCTGGTCCGCGAACTCGACACGAACCACTGCATTCTACGCCTCTCCTGCGAGGTCAGCGCGGACCCCGCTTCCTACGGCCGCTACGGCCACCGTGTAGCTTCCTTCATGCGCCGTCTCGGACCCGTCGGCAAGGACTCCGCCTTCGTGGACTTTGAGAAGGCCTACCACAGGGGCCGGTTCAGCGGCATTCCTGCCTGCATCCAGGCGTACTCCTCCTGCAAGGTGGACCTCCGCGCTATGGTGGCCTTCGTACAGTCGTCGTGAGACGCTTCATTTTAACATGCGACCTGTGATCTGTAAATATTTTAATAGCATGACGCGACTGTCGCCACCTCTGTAAATAGCTAGAAATAAAGCGGTTGGCAAGGATATTTCTTTGTCTGACATAGCGTATGATTTCGTACGCAAGGAGTGGCATGTCCCGTTTCAGTGGTCTCTCACGCCGACGTTCTCCGCAGTCCATGCTTTCGTCATTTTTTTTTTACCATTCCGGATCCCTTAATTACGTGGCATACTTGCTGTCTCCAGCACCAGTGGTGCAAATAAGTGGGGGGGGGGGTCTCAGTTTCTTGTGTTCGCGCTTTACCCAACACGCAACGGGTATTACAACTGTTTTATTAAGTACAGGGGCGCCATGGGCGCTGCGAAAGGCAAGCAGTGCGAGATGGTATATAGGTGTCTGCAATGTGTGTTGGTGAAAACTCCGCAAAATGAAAATTTAGATATAGCGTGGAAATCAACATTCTTGACGCGTGTGCCAGAGAAACCAATGCAGCCAGTTTCGTTTGAGTTTTTCATACCCTGCTGCATCTCGTCAATTAAGAGAATCAATTAAACCACTTATTCCTAAAAAAAATGCAGCCAGTTCTGCGAGAGTCCTCAAACATCCAATAAGAAAAAGCCTGTGGGCAGGTCCACTACCAGCAGCAAGTCAGGCTGACGGGAGGCCGATGAGCTGGCGCAACATACATGCGCGAAGAAAAAAAGAGTAAGAAAGACTGCAATAACGCTCGAACAACCGACCTCACCAGTTCATAGTGTGCTGCTCTAACCAACTGAAACACAGCTGCCAATCGGTTTGGAAAGATTAACAAGCCGGCTTTGTATTGTACAAACTTTTTTTTTACTTTCACGTTTGAACGCAACTTTTACTGCTTCTATCGTTACCTCTAGACGTACTGCTAAACACTCAGACTATTCAAACGAAGCACCTAACCGGAAAAGTGCATCATGTCACTTCTGTGCGACGCAGCAGCCGTTTTTGTGTTTACAAGGCGCAGCAGGCTCTGCAGCGCCTTGTAATTATGTGGCTAAGGTGATAAAACTGCCATTTGATTGAGAGGCACGCCGTAGCTGAAGACGAAATACTGCTGCTGAAGACGAAATACTACTGCTGCTGAAATACATCACTTGAAACCACTGTCAGACTGTAAGAAGGAACCCTTCATTTACGAGCTCGCATACTGCAGTGAACAGCAACACTGATCAAATTCCTCACCATTCCGTGGAATTATCAGTTCACAATCACTTCATCACGGTGGCATCTTTATGAACACCAACTGATTTTCGCGTGCAGCTTTTTTTTTTTCTTTTGCCTCTCGAGACTAGTTGATACCCTTCGCGAAAAAATGAAGTAGTGACAGCACGTAAATTACCGCTCTCTTTGACACGAGTTGCGGTGCGATCGAGCTCACATAAATTGAAGGTAAACATAGCTTGAGTAAGCGTTCAAGCGAAGCTGCACTCCCAGTAGTGTTCGCCACCTCGGGTTCGTAGTCAGCAAGAAGGTCCATGGATGAACCTGAATCAGTGGCCTCACCGTCAACACAAGGTGCTGCAGTTTCCTCGGAGATGGTAGATTCGACCACCGAGTTCTTCCACTTTCTCGGAGGTTTTGGATGCGGCGCTTTCTTCGATAAGTATCTTGGAGGGTTGGGCAGTAACATCGGCGTCCGGCGTTAGCTCTGGTCTCCTATATGCGTGGTACGCGAACCTCTTCGTTTATAACGTGCACGTAATCTCTGAGAGCTTATGAAGGCTTGAAGTGTAGCTCACATACAGAGCAGCTTTCGTTGAAGGTCCCATCCTTTCGATGTAAATTGTGTTCCCAAACCGTCCTGTGTGCTTCGTGTTTGGGTGCAGAGAAAAGCGACAGCTGCTCACCTTTAAATGCAAAGCATTTCTTAGCAACCTTCAACGAGTTTTAGCATATCTATCTATCTATCTATCTATCTATCTATCTATCTATCTATCTATCTATCTATCTATTTATCTAGCCGCCTACGACTTTTAGCTCTCCAGGCCGTTTGGATTACGGTATCGATATCAAATGCGGCATGGCCTAACATGACTATATGACGAGCATATTTGACTAGTCTTAGCATGAAAAGTATGAAATGTGTGTCATGAATGTCATAATTTGCACCTCATGGTCCTGCAGCTCCTGCGGTAGTTTCGTTCACATGGCATGTTGCAAAACTGGTATGGTATGCCGTGATTGCATGGCGAACACAAGCGACAGACCCTAACATGAAAATCACGGCATCCGTGTCATGTAACAACATGACTACATGCCACGCTCATCATGCACTCGCAGCAATGTTGCTATCGTCACATATACCAAATTCGGTATTATAGGGAGTGAATGGATGACGAAGGTACGTGACTAGTTTAAACATAATAATTATGAGATGCGTGTGATGTGACAGCGTGACTACAAGCAACGCTAATGACGCGCTCGCGTCCGTTTCGCTAGCGTCACATACGCCAAATTTGGTATTACGGTACGTGAAGGGATGACAAAGGTATGCGACTGGTGCAAACATGATAATCATGAGATGCGTGTCATGTAACAAGATGACTACATGCCACGCTCATGATGTGCTGGCGGCCATTTAAACATGATAATCATGAGATGCATGTCATGTAACAACATGACTACATGCTACGCTCATAATGCGCTCGCGTCTGTTTCGCTAGCTTCACATGTATTGAATTCGGTATTGCGTGACGTGAACAGACGACATAGGTAAATGACACATTCAACATGATAATCACGACATGCGTGTCATGTACCAACATGCCACACTCATGATGCACTCGCGGCCGTTTTGCTAGCTTTACATATGTCAAATTTAGTATCATGTGACGTCAATGGGTGACGAAGGAATGTTACTGCTGCAAACATGATAATCATGAGAAGCGTGTCATGCCAAAGTCAAGGCGCTGTTATGCCAGCGAGTCCTCGTCAAACGTCCTTGCCTCTCAAAAAGGCAATCTGGGTCAAGGCCAGCCCGCAGTCCGCCTGACGCGAACAACCCAACGGCGTGAACACGCGCGGCGCCTCTCTGGCCCACGTGCATTGAGTCAGCGGCACACGTGACAGCGAGCCGGCGTCCTCGTGTCTGGTGGTCTGACGCATTGCGCGGCGACCCCATTGGAGGAATCTGCCCTGACGACCAGCGGCACTTCTAATTGGACATTTTTGGTTGGACCCGGTGCCTATAAAAGAAGCCCTGCGGTGCGTCTCGATCGGCGGTCCTACGAGAGAGGAGTCCCCATGTCGGAGAGCCGACATGTGTGTGAGTCGGCGGTCTTAGGCGAAAAGTTGACCTATGTATTAGAGAGGAGAGCTCAGCTCTTCGAGTCTCTGTCGGCCCCAGTGCCGAAATTGTAACGCCTCTGTATATATTCTGTACATAAACCTTGTTTAACTCACCGTCGTCTCGTCCGCTCGTCTTATCAGCTCTGCGCAGAAGCAGTCGCGAGCTGATAAACATACGCTACCAAACGGCTGGTGACCTTCCCGGCGGAGTTGAAAGCGGTGGCGCCTTCGGGGCCGTGTTGGCGTCGCCGTCTTTCGCAACAGTGGTGGCTTCGGCGGGATCGGTCCGTCTTTCGCAACAGTGGTTGGCAGCTGCGGGATCGACCGGCGTCAGCGACATCGATGCGGTGAGTGCCTGATGTTTTCCCCTCAGTTCACCAGACTACTCTAGCTCAGGTTGTAGTAGTTTAGAGAAGGGCTGTGTGAAGCATTGAAGGGAGCTTTGATCGTTTCAAGCCAAGTCGAAGCGCTTTGAAACCAAAGTTAATGCGGAGGGGGTAAACACGGGAGTGTGAAAAATTGCTTGCGCGTCTTGCTAGTAGGCTTATAGTGGGTACGGCAGGTAGATTCTTAACATTATCACCCGAGGCTTTCAGGCAAAGGTTCCGGTATGCTGAAAAGGGGAATGAGTCACACGTTGACTTCGCGTTTCGTCTTAAGGCCGATTTAATTAAATGGCTCAAGGGCGAAGGTGTTTATGACGACCGCGATAAAGTGGTGGAATGCGTTGCATTGGAGCAATTCTACCGCTGCATCGAGGAGGATGTCAAACTTTGGCTGCAGGACAGACTTGGGGACGTACAGTTAAACAAGGCAGCTGAGTTAGCTGAGGAGTATTATACTCGCCGAAAGTTGCATAGCAGGGCAGCGCGCGTTGAAAAAGATGAAAGGAAAGAGGGCTTTTCAAGGAAACCTGATCAACGGAAACCCGCTCCGCACCGTAATTTCAAGAAGGACCCGTCTCTTACGAAGGACAGTGTAGGGGAAGGGCAAACAGAAGCGGAGAAATCGAGTGAGGTTTCTACCACACAGGCATTAGAACCGGAAAACAAACGGAAGCCGCTAATCTGCTACAACTGCAAAAAGGAAGGGCACATCGCGAGAAACTGTCAGGAAAAGTTTGCTTTCGCAACGATCTGAGAATCAGAAAAAAACATTCGGTTGTTGGAGCCGTATCTCCAAGAAATTAGGGTGAATGAGAAAACGTGCCGAGCACTTAGAGACTCAGCGGCAACCATGGACGTTGTCCATCCTTCATTGGTGTCTCCGGATGACTTCACAGGAGAATGCGCGTGGATCAGGCAGGTCGCCGAGGAGCAGAGTGTTCGCTTACCAATCGCCACGGTTGTCATTAAAGGCCCGTTCGGTGAGCTTCGCACCGAAGCGGCTGTGTCTGCCGCGCTAAACGATCGTTTTCCTTATCTTTTCTCCAACAACTGAGAGCAGCTTCTCAAAGAGCAGGGCAAATCGTTCTTTCCCAACTTAGCGTGCATGGCTCTCACGCGATCGCAAGCGCGGAAGCTATCGCGGCAGCTTGATCTGGTTCAGTGCGGTGAACTCTCAAGTGACCTTGTGGGCGGGTCGACGGAACCCCAGAAAGGAAAGTTTCCGCATGAGTCATGTGAGCAGTCACGCGAGCGGCCCGTCGCCGAACCGACCGGCGCGGTTTCCGTAGAAAGGGGAGACGACATGGCGCCATTGAGTCAGAGCGAGAGGGTTGCAACGCTCTCGCCTGTAGCGGAAAGTTGGAGCGAGCTGCCGAGAGTT